AATCCCAATTTTTTAAATAGTGTCGTATTTTCGCATGAGGCAACATTTTAATTAAATGGTACCGTAAATCGGCACACTTTTTTCACGGAAATTTAACAGCAGATCGATATTTAGACCATCTTAGTCCCGCAGTGCTTCCGGATCTAATTGCTACATTTCCTGTTCCAGATAATCCACAAAATTTAGATGGCAGGATTTGGTTCCAACAGGATCGGGTGCGACCACATTATGGTGGAAATGTAAGAGTTTTTGTGGATAATCAGGTTGAAGGAAGGTGGATCGGAAAGCGTGGATCAATAGAATGGTCACCTAGGTTTCCGGATCTGACACCCCTTAATTTTTTATGGGGACATTTAAAAAACCGTGTTTACATGAACAAACAAAAGCACAAATTAGTCATGAAATGACTCGTATAAGTCCCCAGAGTATTGGTTTATGTAAGATTGTGAATGGGTAGCAGCCCAAGCAGCAGACTGTCGTCTAATTCATGTCAATTTTTGGTCATAACTCGTCGGCGACGTCATTCGCCCAAAAAATCACGTGAAAATGACGAGATTTTTATGACTTACTTCTGACGTCAATTAATGACGTCAAAAGGCCGTCCTTTCTTCGTCATTTTTTATAGATTATATGATCAATTAGATGTGGGTCGTCGTATTCTTTAAAAAGTGGCCATCATAATGCTTGATTATATTTAGAGCAAAAAACACAACGGCTTAATTAGAAATACACCAAAGACAAGCTTTTTCATTCTAATAATTTCTAATAAAATAATTATTTCTGAAAACTTGTTTACTCTGGAAGTGTTATTTTGTAAGTACCTGCTTGGCAAATTATAAATAGAACATCTGGGGTTGAGCGAAAAGACCCAACGACACAAACAACGTCATAAAAATTTTTTGTCCATTGTCCCTAAAACGGGACAAGGTTTTGAAGAATTCCTTCGTCGAATTTTGATTTTATAAAGACGTTTATAAAGTGATGACGGTTACCAAAAAAATTCGAGAGTGATTAATATTCAGTTTTATTAAATTTATTCTTATCCGTATTTACTATACAAAACATCAGATGTTTGGGGTGTGCATTCGGACTTTCCCTTTTTTCGGTATTTATGTTTATTGCACTTCACAGAGAAGCATTCCAATATTTCCAGTTGGTTCTCAACCACCGAAACTTTCTCGTGTATCCGTTACTCACTTCATTTTTAACGCAGTTTTGTGCAAATTTATGCCATTCAGTGTGGGTTGTACTTATTTATAGTAGGTAAGTTAATATCTAATAAAGTAATAATTTTAATTTTTACGTGTTTCTGTTATTTTTGATAACTGTACGTAGATAACAAAAGCAGTTTTTTCAGATAAGCTGGAAAGACCACCATTAATCACTGAAGATACTCCCACTGATTATGAAGAACTTACGGTGATTGTTTTTGAAAATGAGGCGCTATAAAATATTGCAAAGGTATGTTACTGCAATTTTTTATGAACTAATGCTAATGAACATAATTTTATTTTAGATTTGAAATTAATACAAAACACATGTGCGAAACGAAAGAAATGCTAAAGGAAACGAGTGAAAAAATCTTCAACATGGAAACGTCATCAAATCTGACAACTGAAAAAGAAAACAAAAACAGAAGTTATGCCGCCAAAACCACACCTAAACAAATTTTGACGAATTACAAGATTATGTTTGCATATTACAACAAGCAGATTTCTTTGTAAGTTAAAAAAATACAATGAATTCATATATACATATATAACATTAATATTGGATATTATATACCGGTAGATGCCTGTAATACTACGATACTTTTTGGTAACTTACTATTTACACATACACATTTCGTTTCATTGTAAAAAGTATTGACAACGAGATTTTCCTGATAGGCTGTACGTTTTTGTCAATGCAACCATTTTACGATTACCCGTTAGATTCAAGTAAATTTAGCATTTTTAAAATACAGAATTTGTCTTCTGCTTTAAGCTGTAATCCCTTAAATTTAATAATAGTCAAATGCTTGCTATTGCCCATAGATGAAAAAATGATTGCATTTCCATTAATTCATGCACTCTAACGGGTTTTTCTTTTCAGTGCAATAAATTGAGGCAGACTTAAAAAACTTAGGGTATTGATATGATTGTTAAAACAGAATTAATTACATATACTGTGGTTTTACAGTGCATTTTCAATCAAGTAACTTCAACAATGCGATTCAATTATCTTTTCCCTTTATTGTAGTTTTTATTTTTATTTTTGTAAATATATTTGTTTGTGTTTTTAAGACTGATCTATAGTTTATTATAGTTTTTTTTTTTAATATTCTTTGTAACTAAATAGATTTCTTTGTGTTTTTAAAACTGATTTTTCTTTAAATAGCATATTTTATTGCAAGGTTTATTTTTGATTATATATTGTAGAATATCCTTTTTTTTTATACTAATTATACTCGTAATTACCTGTATGTAGATTTGTTTGTGTTCTTAGTAGTGGTTTATCTTTAATTTGTTTAATTGACATATTTTTATTTGATTATTGAAGTTCATTGTTGGTTGTACAAAATTGTAGTAAATTTAATTTTTTTGCACTAATTTGTTTTAACTTTAATTAATATATACTTTGTTTTGGGCTTTACTTGGTGATTATAACGAATTATAATATTTTATTTAAGCTAAACAATATAAAAAAATTAAATTATTTCAGCGTTTTATTTATTGCATATTTTTTTCTAAAAATCAAAATATGAAAAACGTCTTAAAATGGACAATAAATGCCGTCTTTAGGACGTCAGTAAATCACGTCAATAATTCGTTACAAAATGACGACTCTAAGACGTCAGTACATCACGTCAATAGTTCGTGAGAAAATGACGTCATCTAGACGAGACATTTGACCGTCAGTGGTACGTCAATATCACGTGAAATCTTTGGTCACTATGACGTAAATGATGACCATTTATTCACGTGAAAAAGACGACATCATGTTGCCTGGGAGTTTAAACAATTTCTATAGGGTTTAAGGAGGGAGGGAAACAGTAGATCTTAATTTCTATATATTGCACAATGAAATCGGGAAAGAAATACACAAGAAAGAATGAGGTACCGTGTTTTACCCTTTGTAGATTTTTTAAAATGAGGTTTTTAACCTTAATTGGCACCCTAAAGAGAAAAGATGTGGGAATATTTGAAAAAAATATATAAATGGACATCTAATAGACAGGATCAACAAACTCTATTAAAACACAACGATCGGTGTAAAAGTGAATGGAAAAGAGAGTGAAAATTTTGATACGATAAACAGGGTAAGACAGGAAAGCCCGCTGATTCCAAGACTTTTCACTATTACATAGGAGATTTTGAAGAAATATTCAGCAAACTACAGATAGGAAGGGTAGTGATTGGAAGAAAAAGGTTTTGGTATTGACTTATCCGGATGACATTGTGTTGATAGCTAAGTCGGAAGGAGAAATTAAAGAAATGCTGAGAAGTCTTGAAAGGTCTATGAGAAGGAAGGGATTTGTAGTAAATATAAATAAGACAAAAATAATGGTCTTGAGTTTGAAAGTGGGGAATTTAGAAATTTCGGATTCTACTTTAACTCGGCCAACTCAATGAGCACACGTATAAACAACGTATGCAAAAGAGCTAGCAAAATATGGGGATGACACGGGGAATTGTAGAAATAGAATTTGGTGATGATTGGAAGAGGTGTATAATGCCGTTTAATAGTTTTTTTGGTTAAAAGTGTATATAGTGAGGGGAAAAAAGAAGGATTGGAGGAAGAACTTTGGAAAGTGCGGCCAAAATACTACGAGCGCACTGGTTGCACCTGGAAGGATGTGACAGGAGCTCTGTAGAAGAGATTTTGATGTACAGAGATAGGAGGGAAGAGGTGACATAAGAAATTCTAGGTACAACGATAGATTTAAGGATAATAATAGGGCAAAAAGAGCCCCAGTACCTGACAACAAAAACAAGCGGGAGGGAATAATCATGGTCCGATTTAAATGCGGGAACGAAGAGAAAGAAAATAAATTTTGTATGAGTGAGGAAGAGAGAGTATGCAGATTGTGTAGAAACAGGGAGAAACGAGAAAACATATGATGAAAGAATGTGATGAACTAAAAGAAAAAGAGAAACGCAACAGGCGAGGAGAAGGATAGTTTAGGTTCAATTTACAGGCTGAAAAAATGAAATTAAAAACATCTATGGTTAGGGAAATGTGTTGTTGCCTGTATAATTTTGGCTAGAGATTACAATGGTGACCATGAAAATGTTCTAGCAGATCTAGACTTTTTGTCTAAAATTGGAAAAATAATAAGAATTTCCGAAAATGACAACACAACTCAATTTGCGTTGTTAACTCCGAGATTACAGGCAACCCACCACAATACAAGCTGTATGTTTTAAGAGGCGACTTACGTAATTTGGCGACATAGTGAGTGGCAAAACTAGATCACAAATAAAAAAAATCACACGGTATAACTGTTTTATTATAATATGTTTAAAACATGGTAAGGAAAATTTCTACAGTTTCTCCGTAATTATCTGTTCCTGATTATTTAGTAACTATATACAATATTTGTCTAGTATGACAATTACATACAAATGAGAAATGATTCTTAAAAAATTAATCTTGATTTATACACACTTTTTACACGTACATATTTAAATATTGTCAGTGATAAGCTAATCTAAGGTGGTACCTTATTAGTACAAATTTAAACCAATTCCCAGTTTATCATTTGTTAATTTATTACATTATTTATTGTAGGCGCAGACAGCTTAACCGAAAACCCATTTATGAATAGTTTGAATTATCCTCAGTACGATTTATACAAAGTACTACTCGTACTGAAATGAATTGTAATACAGTAATATCGGTGTAAGCAATTTCCGGAATTATTAATATCTACTTTTTGCACTCAGAATAAATACAGTAAGATGAAACCTGTTTCCAATCTACATATATTATCCCCGGGTACTGATCCAGTTTGCGCGAACTTAGATTTCTCGATAGCTGCATATCAGAGAAAGCTTTTATTAATTTAATAACTAGTGAGGCAGCAACATTCGAAGCTGTGTACAATAAGTCAAGTGGGTACCAGAAAAATGGGTGCATTAGAGTCCTCTTTAGAGGACGAAACCTTACAATCAACGAAAATAAAAAAGTACGTATCACCAATTTAAATCCACAAATCTACCCCGAATCATTTTTAGTTTAAAAGAAATTCGTTTCCACCTCCAAGACAAGGAACATGTCGGTAAGTCCATTCGTCTAAATTAAACAACTAACAACAACTGAAATATTTAATTTAGTTAAAACTGAAGACATTGATCCAAACACATCTCTGAATTTTTACCTCCGGAACCATCTCCACTTGACCGGAACGAAAGTAATGTGCCGTGAAGGCGGATGTGGGTCTTGTGTGGTTGTTTTACAAAACAAAGATCCCGTTACACATAAGAACATATTTTTGGCAGTGAATTCGGTAAAAATCACATCTTTGCCTTTATGATACAGGGTGTAAAGTATATTTTAGTGTTTGGTACCCATTCTATCAATCAGTGGGTGGAAGATTTACACCATTGAAGGCATCGGTGACCCTCTGAACGGGTACCACCCGATTCAAAAAGTTCTGGCGCTTTTTAATGGCACGCAGTGTGGTTTCTGCTCACCAGCCATGGTAATGAATATGTTTGCGTTGTACGAATCCGGAAAACTGACAATGGAGGAGGTTGAAAACTCATTCGGCGGAAATATTTGTCGGTGTACCGGTTACAGGCCAATTTTGGCGGCTTTTAAGTCTTTGTGTGGAGATGCAAATCCGGAGCTGCTAGGGCAGTACCCGGATATTGAGGATTTAGTTGTTTGTCAGAGGGAGAAGTGTGGGTGGGAATATATCGAAAAGTGTGACGAAATGGCTAAAGTACCGACTTATACACTTTTGAAGAACTCGTCTAAGTGGATTAGGGTTCATACTTTGAGGGATTTGCTTAAGACTATGCGTTCTTTTACGTCGTCGACTTATAGACTAGTGGCTGGAAATACAGCCCAAGGTACTTCGATTGAGTGCTAAGTATACAATTTAAAGCCAATTTTTAGGGGTGTATCTATCGTATGCCAACCCAGTCGATTTGTATATAGATGTCACCTCAGTTCCCGAATTGAGTGGATATGAATTCAGAGGCAATTCTCTTATTCTGGGAGCTAATATAACTCTATCCAACACCATAGATGTTTTTCGAAAAATTGCCCAAACTTATCCGAATTTCTCGTATCTAAACCAAATGGCTAATCATATCGACTTAATCGCTAACTTACCCGTCAGAAACGTAAGTGATTTCTTCAAAAATATTGTTTCTAATTTTGCTTTCTAGAGAGGAACTATTGCTGGAAACTTAACTATAAAACACGACTACAACGAATTTCCGTCTGATATGTTTCTGCTCTTGGAAACCGTAGGTGCTCTTTTAACAATAGTGACCGTCGACGGCACTCAAACTATTCAGCGTCCAAGCGATTTTATCAAAAGCGACATGAAACTGAAAGTTTTGCAAAAAATTACTCTACCGGAACACCCAAAATCGGTAAAATTTATAAGCTACAAAGTAAGTTTCTTCGAAAGTGGAGCTTAAAATACACATTGTAAGATTTTAGATCATGCCACGTGCTCAAAATGTTCATGCTATGGTCAACGCAGGATTTCTGTTCCAATTTCGTACGAATCTTCAACTAGAAAATGTCACTATTGTCTATGGAAACATAAACGACGAGTTCGTTCATGCTTCAAATACGGAAAAAATTTTGAAAGGGGCAAATTTGTTTGATAATCAGACTTTACAGGCAGCTTTTGGTACTCTTTCGTTGGAATTACAAGCTGATGAAAGACCTCCTGATCCATCTCCGCGGTATAGGCAGCAGCTAGCCATTTCACTTTTCTACAAGGCAAACAACGAGATTTAGTAGAAAACAAAGATATTTAAGTTAGTATATTTTAGGCGGTCCTGTACTTGGCTCCAGACCATCTACTGTCGCCTAAAAATTTGTCAGGTGGTCCTATTTTACAACGACCAGTTTCTAACGGGACCCAAGACTACGAGACCAATCAGTCTTTATACCCTTTGACCAAACCAATACCGAAGTTAGAAGCGCTTGCCCAGACCAGCGGTACTTTTCTCTCAGTTGTAGTACCCTGAATTTAACCTTTATCTTCTAGGACAAGCTAAGTTTATAGACGATATGCCCGATTTACCCAACCAGTTATACGGAGCTTTAGTGTTAGCCCATGCCCCACCAAACTCCAGAATCATTCACATCGACAGCAAAAAGGCTTTAGTACTACTATTTCCCCCCCAAAACAACTAAAACTAACTCCACTAATTCTAGGAAGTCGACGGCGTTGTTGCTTTCTTCAGTAAAGACCATATTCCAGGTGACAACAATTTCACTCCCTTAGGTATAGCTTTCATCAGCTCGGAGGAAGAAATTTTTTGCAGTGGAAGAGTCATGTATTACCAGCAACCAATAGGAATCGTGGTAGGTCGCCGTGACGACATAGTCCAGTACGCATCCACTTTGGTAGAAGTCGTCTACGAAGAATCAAACGTTGAACCTTTGCTTTCGACTCGTCAAATTTTAAGATCTGGACGTGGCGATAGAATTATCAATGTTAGAACAGTGCAACCAAGACGAAGAGGCAACGATGTTCGTCACGTAATCAAGGGAACTTTTGATATTTACCAGCAGTACCACTTCCACATGGAACTACAATGTTGCAACGTAGTACCAACTGAAGATGGACTTGACGTTTACCCGTCGACTCAGTGGATGGATTTGACTCAAATCGCGATAGCCAACATGTTGAATATTCCAAATAGTAGAGTGAATGTGACTGTTCGACGATGTGGAGGAGCCTTTGGTGCTAAAATTAGCAGAAACGGGCTGGTAGCATGTGCAGCAGCCTTAGCTTCTTGGAAGTTGAGACAACCCGTGAAGTTGTCTTTACCGTTAAGAACTAACATGGCTGCTCTTGGTAAACGGTTTCCGCTTTCAATGGACTACGAAGTAGGTGTGAATGACAGTGGGGTTATCCAGTATCTTAATTGCACCCATTACATGGATGTGGGAGCCCAAGCAAACGAAGACCTTTCGAATGAAATGGTTACTCTTTTTATGTCGGCGTACGACCCAGACACGTTTACTATTGATGTGAATAAAACTATCACTGATACCCCTACTAACAGTTGGGCGAGAGCTCCAGGTGCGTTGGTAAAAATTTTTGGTTTTCACTTAATAGTTAATTGTAGGGTCGTTGGAGGGATTAGCCTCCCTTGAAGCTATAATGGAACACATTGCCTTTAGTTTGAATCTTGACCCACTAGAGTTGCGACTTCGTAATCTTAAAACAGGGGTACCGCTTGCCCCCTATATCAACGACCTGAAAACCTGGGCTGATATAGACGCCAGAAAACAAGAAATTGACAATTTTAACAAGGTTTAAACCCAAACGACTGACTATTTTGTCTACAAACAATTAATTTTAGGAAAACCGGTGGAAAAAGAAAGGTCTGGCGGCAGTACCCATGGCGTATGAATTGGTAATAGGTGGCCCCTACGCCGCCATGGTGTCTATTTTCCACGGAGACGGTAGTGTGCAAGTTGGTCATGGTGGTATAGAAATCGGTCAAGGAATTAACACTAAAGTACTAAATCCACTTTGTGGAAGAACTGAAGCTACGAGGTTGTTGTAGGTTGCTCAAGTATGTGCCTACAAATTGGGAATACCACTAGAGAAAGTCTCCATAGTACCTAGTACCAGTTTCGCGGCAGCCAACTCGCTTCAAACTGGCAGCAGCATTACATCAGAAGCTGTGTGCTATGTAAGCTCCTTGGTTTAAAATTACGGTACCTTTGTAGCGGTTTTTAGGGTACTATTCAAGCGTGCGATCAGTTACTGGCACGAATCAAACCAGTACGTGACAGGTTAGGAAACCCATCGTGGGGAGAGCTAATCCAGGAGTGTTTTGCAGAGTATGTAGATTTGACTGCACGGGGACAGTAAGTACTATTCACAATAGGTACTTAAGGTCACGTATCACTCCCAGGTACTCTCCAAACGAACCCAACATTCAAACCTACGAGGTTTACGGTGCCTGTGCTTCTGAGATTCTTCTTGACGTTTTAACCGGACAATATTTAATAACCAGAGTGGATTTGCTTGAGGACACTGGACAGTCCATGAGTCCGGTAATCGATATTGGTCAGATCGAAGGGGCATTTGTGATGGGTATGGGGTACCACACTACTGAACAGATCGTTTACAGTTATGAAGGTAGACTTTTGACGAATAGAACATGGAATTACTATCCTCCAGGTGCTAGAGATATACCGATTAATTTTAATGTGAAGTTTCCTAAGAATAATCCGAATCCTGTGGGCGTTTTGAAATCGAAAGGTATGAATTTGGTTGCATTTATTTACTGTTAATAGTATTTTTGGTAGCAACTGGTGAACCGCCTACTTGTTTGTCAATGTCTGTTCCGTTGGCGGTTCGACATGCTGTGGCGTCGGCTAGGGCTGACGCAGGAGAGGCGATTGGGTGGTACCCAATTGGTAAGGTGTGTGTTGAAAAAGATTTTTTTTAGTATCGCGAATTTACAGATGGACCCACAACCGTGGAGAACGCCTTTTTGAATTGTTTGAATGATTACACTCACTATACCTTGTAAAAAGGCCTAAGTAATTGGGCCTTCAGCCTTAAGAGACTGTATTATTATTTCTAGCTAAAATTTCAACATAAACATTGTTATTAAGGAATAAGGGTTACATTATACTGGAAATGTTTGCAGTGAGTTTGTTTTGCACCGAAAAATTTAATTATTCCCATAAATATGTAAACTGTGAACGAGAAGACGTAAAAAAAGTTCGTCTCGTTAATTGGCGTTCCTGCTTTCGAATCTACTAATTCATCAGTACGCTCTTAATTAATAATTGTCTCTATTAATTTCATTGCGCGAAATTAGTATTTTGATAAACCTGTATAAAAAACAGCAGCTAAATTTAACCGGAACGAAAATTAATCAGGTGAAGTGATCTGGAACTCTGAAAACATTAATAAGTTCGTAGCTATCTGTTAGTGTTTACTGATAGGATTGAAAGTGTGTTTATAGGCAAGCATATTTTGGTTTATTATGTATACAATTTTCCGGCTCCTTAACACCGTTACAGAATGAACCCCAACAGAAAATGCTGGAGGCACGAAGCATAGTGAAGCGAAAGCGGCTGTTTACTGGCTATCGCAATTTCTCAGGGGCGGACTATTAAAATCAATAGTTATTTACGTTATTAATCACGAAAATGTGGACGAAGAGGTAAGATTCAGGAGGAAAAGTGGATGAGTTCTCGAAGCGCCTGAAATTGTAGTAGAGATTATCTAAATTTGTTCATCAGTGGGTGTTTTACGTTTTCATGTGTAACCAATCTACATAAAACTTTTTGATAAACCGTTAGATCACTGTCGTCTTTAATGATAATAACAGTGCTGTCATCAGTGTCCACAGTCAATAATAACTCTTTCAATGTCAATCACATAAATTAGGAAAAGTGAAGGACCAACTCCTTGAGGAACACCGAAGTGTCAGTGAAAAATTTGTTGTCAAAGGGTAGTAATATCGACTTATTTTTTCTAAATCCGAACTGAGAAGAAAAACAAGGATTATTCATGTTTATTAAGGACATTAGGGAGGATACCTTTACGAATATATCTATTGATGCAGAATATACATTAGGGGATAAGCCATAAAATAATTTATAAGTTTAATCGGCTGTTTACAAGGTATCACAATTTCACAGCGTCCGACTATTAAAATCAATAGTTATTTGCATTAAATATTAATTGATTATAAAGTGGTATTTTACTGGATGGGTAGGAAACTTTCACGACGAGAAGTCTACGAGCCTCAAAGCGTCTGAAACTCCAGAAAATTGTTTAATGTTTTTATCTGCATCCAGGCTATAACGAAAGCTTAATCATGCCTATTACATTAATAATTTCAATGTCACTAGAGAAAAGTTGGCAACAGTGTATTAAATCGCAACCTTATTCACTTAATTATTCATTATTATCATTGGCAACCCCCATTTTGATCAGATTTACGAAAAACGTATCAATAAATTTAATGTGGAAAAGCTTCCCAGTGGATCTTCCATGCAATTTCAATTGTGTTGATCCGGATTTCTCAGCGTATCCTCCTGCGACACGACATGACGTTCATCCACAGCGTCGTTTGATGGTGGTAATATTACCTCATTGGGTAATAAAGTGGCCGAACAACGTTCTATACTGTGACCGGTATAGAACTCCGCATTGAGTAATTAAAAAAAAAATCTTTTAAGGTATTCTCGACGTCGTCTTAATTTCAATAGCTTGCACAATGCACAAAAGAACCACTAATGGAAAATATTAGGGTTTTGGTGAAAAAAATTATACATATACACTGATATATTAACAGATATAAGCTTTAAAGGAGAGCAGATGGCTCGGTGGTTAACGCGTAAGTATTCGGAGCTGACCACCGCCAGCGGCATAGGTTCAACCTCGCCCATGCAAAAGTCAAAGTTCCCTCGTCAGCTCTGGCCTGCCGCCAGGACTGATGTATTAAGATGGCTGAAGGCATAAAGATTCATAGTACGGAGTTAGATTTATCCCAACTCGGCTCGGTGGAACTTTGATGATCGGGAATGCAGCAAAAAGCTGTGTAATACCTGAAGTAGATCTGTTCCATGGATAAGAAATAACGACGGTGATTATTAATGTAATTTCCAAAAATTCAGAGTAATTACTCGCTTGCACGAAAAAAACTATTTCTTTCATCAAGTATGATCCCTCATCCTTTTCAGTTTCCAGAACCAATACCTTTTTGTGTTTTGTACGTTCTGGTTTCACTGTATATTAGGTAATCAATACTGATTGTAATCAATACTGATTGTAATCGAATCATCCTTGACTTTTAAAAAATCTGAAAATGTCTGGTTAAGATCCTTAAAAGTCATTGAACATATCGTAAAGTTAATAATTGTTTATATAAACTAACAACCGTAAAAAACTGACCTTATTATACGGCGCCGTGGTAACCAAACTGCAACTTCCTTTGCATATAGAGGTGCTTCTCGATAAACATGTGGATTTTCAGTGATCCATATTTTGTGAGGTTACAAACCCACTATCGTGAAACTATGTCTGTCGATAAAAACTGTTTTTCTGAATAATGCGCTATCAAATGTGTCCAAAGCCTCTGACAATATTCAACCCTTCACCTAGTTCTGTTGTGGGGCCTCTTTAGAATACTGTGGGCAAGCCACATGAGATGAAAATCCTCTAAAAGCTTCTGAAATTCCATGGTGTGATCTACCGTGCCCTTCAGATACCAGGGGACCTCTGATTACACTGTACCCCTCTCTGTAACGTGCGCAAATCTACTGCAGTTGAACCCTTTTTTGCTCGTAGCACCTACATGAAGACCAGAAATTCTAAAGAATCAAACTCCTATGGACTAAAGGGCAGCGCTTCACGAAATGGGCCAAACGTACTATATGCTGCAGATAACCTTCCTGTAGATGTGATAATCCTCAACTTGTATGTGGAGTGTGAAGATGAGACAACCCGAAACTGGGTTGGGCTTATTATTAGGGTTCGAGATGTCAAAGGAGCTGAAGAAATGGCCGCCTTGCTACTTGAGTCTTACAAGGAGAGTCATCCAGTAGGATAAGACACACTGCAAGGAAGCTGTGGAATAGAGTCCGACTTGACAATTCCCCAATTGTTGGAAGCTATATAACACAGCACAAAAAAATTCAAATCTGCAATCCGAAGCAGGACAACAGACAAATGGAAGGACTTATATGGGAAGATAGACAATCTTCCACAAACAGCAAGGTTTCAGAAGGGCCTTACTAAGGACCCGTGTGTTAAGCTGTGGTCCGAAGAAGACATTTTGAGGCTTCTATTAAGTACGCCCTCCTCGAACTCACAAGACTGTAGCGAGGAGGTTCACTAAGTCACACCGATTCTCGGGAGGTATGGTGATTTTTGTCTAAAGTCGTCATCCCAGAGAAATGATCTTTTACAAACGGAACTGAAATCATTTACTAAATCTCTGCTGCATCTTTGCAGGGCTTGTCTCGCTCTGGGCTTCACCTAGTGGCTGGAATGAAGTGGGAGCTGTTTTTATCCCTAAATTTGGATGTAGTAATTATGCTGAGGTGGAGAGTTGTAGACCTATCAGTCTAACGTCGTTTTTTCTAAAGGCGATGGAAAGACTAGTTGACAACGCCGTTCGGAAGAAGTTGCTGGGTAACATGCTCCTGCACCCAAAGAAATATGCTTTCCAGTTGGGACAGTTGGAGAGTGGGTCCTGTTTAAATCTTCGCAGGGATAATAATAATTAGAAACGGGACTGAGGTTGGATTTTACTTGGAATATTCCTGGATATCGAGGGGAAGTTTGACAATGCAGCCTTTGACTCCATATGTTCACATTTAACCAACCGCGGTTGAGATCCGACACTTATCAAGTGGATCCCTGTTATGGTCAATAGGAATCTAGGTTCATAGATTAAAGTAGTTGCTAAATGAGTGAGTTATCTCCACTTTTGTGGAAGCCGCTAGACTAGGGTAAAGCAAAACGATGACATCAAACGTTACGAATACGAATCCACCCGCGATACAGTTATCAACCCAGTGGGAAAGGTCAGTCGGCTTGGAACACACCTTGGCCGCCGTCTTACAGGAGCTGGCTGCAATGGAGGTCTCTCAGATATCGCAGCCCCAAGACCGTTCGCAATCAGACTCGCGGCCTGAGATATCGTCGCGTTCGCGATCGCGATCCCGTCAACGAGTGAAGGGCGACAGCGGTATATGCTGGCATCACTGGCGTTTTGGCGACAAATCAAGAACATACCACAAATTCCCTACCAGCGGGAAACGCCGAGGGCAGTCGTTAAAGTCGCGCCGTTGATTCATCACGAGAGGACAACGCCGATCTGTGTGTGTTCCCGCATGCCCTGCTACCAAAACCGAGCATGAAGTCCGCATATGAACTTTCCGCGGCAAACGGCACCGTCATCGCGACGTACGGAACCATCACGTTGCCGTTGAATTTGGGTTTACGACGCGATTTTACGTGGAGATTTGTTGTCGCGGACGTGGTGAAACCCATTATCGGAGCCGACTTCCTGGCTCACTACGAACTCCTGATGGACATAAGAAATCAGCGACTACACGATCAAATTACTCAACTCACTTCCACCGAAGAGGTGACTGAATGTGCGATCCCGTCCGTCAAAATCATCGCTGGATGTTCAGCGTTCCACGAACTCCTCCAATGGTTTCCCGATGTCACACATCCAGATGAAACCTCTAATGCGGTGAAACATTCCACCCGCCACCACATCGTAACCACGCCGGGACCTCCCATTGCGCAACGTCCGCGAAGACTCGCGCCCGACAGACTCCAGGCAGCAAGAAAAGAATTCGAAGCCATGGTCCAGCTAGGAATCGCCCGTTCTTCCCAAAGTTCATGCACATGGTGCCCAAGAAGGGCGACGAATGGAGGCCATGCGGGGATTACCGTGTCCTTAACGCGAGAACCTGCTCCGAAAGGTACCCGGTGAGGCACATCCAAGGTTTTGCGTAATCCTTATACGGCAAAATCATATTTGCAACAATCGATTTGCATTCGCATCACCAGAAGAACACCTCCAGCACTTGGAAACTATTTATGTTTCAGCGTTTGAGAGAGTACGGCGTCGTTGTCAATCCTATGAAATGCGTCTTCAGTCACCCAGA